AGGAATGGTGTATTTTATAAAAAGGTGTAGAAAGGCTTAGAAGGAGGGAGAAATAAAGAAAGAATAAGCTTTTAGCTTAGAGAGAGAAAAGAGAATAGATGATTGTTGATGATTTGAAAATGGGGGAAATTGATAGAGGAATAATTGCATCGTTAGACGACTACACCTAAATCAAATACAATTTTTAACACTCGACTTATCCTAATACAAGTATATGGTAAGAAGAGGGGTCGAACCACAGGGAGAAGCACATAAACACCGCATTCATCACTAGACTTTAAGCTATCTCGGGACAAAGGATAGGAATGACTAAGAGATTAAACTAAAGATAAAACAAGTTAAAATCAATATAACTAAACACCAAGGGAGATGGGTAGATATAGATGCCGCTTGATCATGCAATAACATAAAAGCAAATCAATAGTGAACTAAACATGCATGAATATCGAAATAAGGTTCAATCTAGCCACCTTTCGGGGTTAATCGATTTCTCCTAACATAGTCTCTATGTTTCCACACTAGAACCATATATTGGGAGGTGCAATCAAAGAACAATCGATAGTAATGAATCCTAACTAAGTCAACTTCCATTTCTTGTTAGCAAAGATTCACCTTTAATCAACTAACAATGTGCACTTGCAAGAAGATCAAAGAATATCAAGCATGCAAAGATTTTAATCACAATTAACTTAATCCCAATATTATAAGCATGAACAATTAGCAACTACACCGTCCCACACCCTTGGCTAAGAGACTACTCACAAAACCATGTTGAGGACAATATCAATCATCAAATCAATAAGCATCAACATGATTAATACGCAAAGAAGGAAAATCAAAGTAAACAAGCAAAATTAAATGCAAAAGTAAAGAGAAAGAGTAAGAGATTGCTCATTAATTGAAATTGAAGATCTACAAAAGATTAAACAAGCTTCTTCTTCAAAATCCAAGTTCATCAATGAAGAAATCCACACTTTCTCTCTCTACCAAATGAAGACTAATAGTGTTTCTCTCTCTAGATTAAGCTAAAAGTGCAGAAAATTAAAACTAAGTTAATCTAAATTTCATCAAAACGTTCTAAGATGGGACTTATATAGTCCGTACAGAGCCAGCTGAAAAAGAGGAGTGGTCCAACCGAACAATGGGAAGGTTCGGTCGGACTACAGGGTAGGTTCGGCCGAACCATGGCTAGGTTCGGTCGGACCTCCCTGATCTTGGTCTGGTCTGTGGTTCGACCACTCCTGCAAAATTGCCAAATTGCTTCTTGACCCTGCCTCGACGTTCGGCCGGACCACTGAGCAGGTTCGGCCACACCCTGGTTCAGCCAAACCTTCAGGAGGTTCGGCCGAACCTCTTCTGAATCTTGCTTCCTTCAGCTTTCCTTGAGCTTAGCTTCCTCCTCTTGAAAACCCAATGGTTCCTATAGAGCATAAGCATGGAAATCAAAGTAAAGAGTAGGAAAAAGGGGAAAAATCTAGGAAAGAAGATGCATAAAGGGAAAGGGAACTAAGTGCAAAGAAAAGGATGCAAACAAGCCGCAAATGTGGGAAAATGACCATCAAAATGAACCTTAATCGTGGCATAAATGCCACTCATCAGAAATAGACCCTATTTATAGAGAAAAATTGATTGTAAACGATTGAAAAGTGTAAGAATCAGACTCGGAGCAAAACTGGTTCCATTGCGACGCAACAGGACTATCGCGATACGATAGCTTCATCGCATGGTGATAATCCCATCACGGCGCGATGATTGCTGTATGATAAAATTTTCGTATGGAGTCCTCCTAATCAAATTTGGTTACTTAGAGTCCGTACTTATCTTTAATTAATCCGGATTAAATCTTTTGAAACACTTGTTTTATTTCAAATAAAATTCTTTATCTTTTCGAAATCAAATATAATTATTAATTATTAATCCTAATCCCATTAGAACTCAAAATAACCTTCTAGAAGTTTCTAGAAGACTAAGAAGAATCCTAATGACTTTAGGAATACAATTAAGATTAACGGACCCTTTACATGATCATTGGGTCACCCATAAAACTCATTTAAGACCCAGTCTAGTATTCTGACCATAACTTCCTCGTTATAACACGGGATTGGTTTTACAATATATCGTTGGAAAGGTCTTTTCCAGCCCCATCTAATTACACAACTATTGGACCCATATCATGGACCAAACTAAATTGGATTGGATGTTTTTCATAACTAGGATACAAAATGAATGATTTTCAGAAAACATAAATGAAGTATTTTTATTAAAACATTTTAGAAACAGAAGAATTCACGAGATTTTTCAACATTTCAACCCGTTCGATATTCAATGACGTGAAAGATACTCATTACTGGGTTTTGTTTTTTGGGAGACACAATCAGGTGTCTACAATACGTAATGGAGGAAGTATTTTTTTTTAAACTTAACTATTTTCTAGATCTTATTAGACAAACATTTTGGCATTTCATTGACCTTACCTCATAAGGGCACTGTCAATTAAAGGCCCTATCCACTAAGTACCCTTTAAGCTTGACCTTGATCCTATTGTCATTGGGCTACCCTATCCAATAATCAGGTCTAGTCTTTAGTAAGTACATACCCCCTTTCTTCGTTAATGCAAACTAGAAAATCGCCTCAAACACTAGAAACTCCACATTTTCTTTCTCCTTCGCTGTGTGCATTTACAATGAACCCACCATTGCTAATAGTTTATTGACTCATCAATAGTAAGCTAGACTAGACCGAGACTTGAATTCATGTACCATAAATTGCTCCAAACCTATCCAATAATCAGGTTTAGTCTCTAGTAAGTACATACCCCCTCTCTTCGTTAATGCGAACTAGAAAATCGTCTCAAACACTAGCAACTCCACATTTTCTTTCTCCTTCGCTGATGTGTGCATTTACAACCCACCATTGTTAATAGTTTATTGACTCGTTAATAGTAAGCCAGACTAGACCGAGTCTTGAATTCATTTACCAAAAACTGCCCCAAACCTAACCTAATCATACCCAATTACCCATATCCAAAATAAACCCAACTCTAACAGAACATGAACTACACACGAAAGGATAACTTAAAATGAGTTTGTCGGTTATAAGTCAAACCAAGCTTGACTTGAACCAAACCCAAACCCAGCCTAGAGGCTATCTTGACCTAATAGGTACCAATCCACGTATGACCCGCATGACCTAACTCGTACTTGCCCTAAGGATTAAGGACCAATAACTGACAAGTTGTCCAATAAAAGTAACGTAACTTAAAAAACGACGCAAGCATTTTACATAAAATTATTATCTTTTTTTTTTTTTTTATGACAGCTGGGAAACAAAATAAGAAACATACTACATAAACTAAAACCGAGTTACCCTTGTCTCATATTCCTAGTTTGAGTTGCTAGGATATGAGCTCTGATGGTAACATTCCTACGAACATAAGAAACACAAAAGTACTTTAGACTAGAACTTAAGGAAAGGATATCGAAGACCAGATTCTGCAAGTCCTTTGGAGCCTTTTGCGGATTCTTCAAGGATTCTACACTAAGCTTGCTATCCGTTCTGACCTCCAACTGATCGAATCTTTGTTGTGCTCTTATTCCCTCTCTTATGGCTAATAACTCGCATTGCAATGCAGAGTTACCAATCACTCTCTTATTTCCTTCTTCAGTTAAAGCTTCCTCTTTCGAGAGCACCCATCCTACCGCCACTGCATCTAGCTTCCCCGTTTCCTTTTTCCATGCTCCATCCACTGTTACCACTACTACCTCTTGTGATTCATGCGTACCCCGTTGCCAAAAGTTCAACTCATCTGCACCGTTGCCTGTTGATACTTGAACTGCTTTGCTTATGTCGGCCTGTTCATCTCCCTTGCTACTACGTCAACCGCTTCCCTGATCAAGAGCATTATCCTGATAGGCGAGCTGGTAGCATTTCTAAATATAATATAATTCATGTGCTTCCACACACACCACAAAGTAGCTAAGATGCCTCCAGCGAGCAGGAGGTTTTCCTTGTTTTGCAAAGCATAGGCCAAAAAAATTTTAACCCATTTCCCTACTGGTAACAATTCATTCTGAATCCTCAACCCTAGGAGCCCACAATGCCACACCCTCTTGGTAACTTCGCAATCTCTGAAGAGGTAAGGCGTTTCTTGATCTTTCCTACACAATACAACACATGATGTGTCAACATTTACGCCCCTCTTTGCAAGCCTTACACTACAACTGCATGCGTCATTTAAGATTTTCCATCCGAGCATTATTAGCCAGCTGGGTGGTACTTTCAGCTTCCAATACTCCTTCCAGAATCGATTCTTTTTCTCATCTTCCCCTTCCCCCTGCCTTGCCAACCATCTGTACCCTAATTTCACAGTATACTCCCCATTCTTTGTTCCCCCCAAAGGATTTCATCATCCTGATCAAGTCTGGGATGTGTAAAGAGAATCTGTTTAACGAATTCAGAGTCGAACAACTTCCAGATTACTCCTGCTTTCCATAATCCTTTGTCATCCATCAAATCCGAAAAACTCCCATAACTCCTTTCTTCCTCGTTAATTCCATCTTTCAGTCTCACCTTCCCTCCAGATGTCCACCTATCTCTCTCTGTATGCACATCACTGCCTCTCCCTATCTTGTACCAGAATCCCTCCTTCATTTGGATTGCTGTTTTTGTCATCCCTCTGAATGCCCATGAACATCTAATCGCCAAAGTTATCTTACTAATTTAAAGTATATAACTAATAAGATACCTATAGGATCGTCAAAGTTGTGCGTCGGCAATTATTAAATTCAATTGTAAAAAATTAGAGAACACATAGATAACCTTTTATCACTCCATCTTGGTAGATATGTGGGACAAAGACCAAGTTGTGCTTGGTGTTATGGATTCCAATTTGAGGTTATCTGTTTCCAACTACCGGTTCGACAAAGACCATAATACTGAGTATTTAACTTGTAAGAAAGAGTTCAACCCTTCAAGTTTTCCTTTGTGGTAATTTTTGCAGAGAATAACCAAATTAATCATACTTTTTATCATTTGCACCCAAAAAATTACAAAATTTGCTGAAGAATTTTTCCAAATACAAAGCAAAGAATGGAAATACTCCTCAAGCAGGAAGAAGGTATTCCATTCATGAATGGATGAATCAATCGGAATAAATATCAGGTGGACATCACCTGTGACAAAGAATTGCTTGATGCAAACAAATAATTCCCAAGGCACCAGCCAATGTGACCGGAAGAGATAGCTGAAGAAGAAAGAGCACAGATCTTATAGGATTCTTCCAATGTGGAAGAACAGCAGCATTGCACTTCTGAACAACCATTTATCAGTTTTCCTGCAAGGGTGCAAATAGATGCACATGAATTCGCTCATTCCATGATGTTAAAATTTATTTACAAAGGTCAAAGTGAGAAGCTTCAATGAAGCTTTACCTTGTGAATTTCAGCAAAAATTATCATGAGTAGGAAACAATCAAAGGTTCATGTTCTTCATTAGCCTTGTTACTATAATAGCCATACAGTCCCAGTTGAATGATTGCGAGAAGGGCTCCTATCCCATTTGGAACCTGGAGTTCAATCAGGAAAGCAAATACGACTGTATTCAGTAAAAGGGCAAAAAAAAACATTAAGCAATATACTTGATAAGTGAAGATATAAGACTGCTTACATAGATGAATGCATCCCAGTTAAGCATCCCATACGTAAAGAAAGACATGCTCATCAAGAAAGAAGAGAGTGAAAGGTAGAAAGGCATATATTCGACACTTTTTGTCCTTATAACCAGTCTCTGTAAAGTCAATACTGTGTGTCAGAAATGAAAAGGCATAGTCTGTATTTACATAATTAGTTAAGCAACTATTATCGACGACATGTCTTCAGCACCCTTATTGAGCAAACTGTAGTTAGCTGAGGGCGCATTGATCCCTTGGTTAATTAGCCAAGGAGGATTCAATATATTGCAAGAAATCAAACAAGAGTGCTGAAACTTGGAAAACATACGATTATAAAGAGTGGTGAAGCAAACATTGAAATTAGAGATGCGCAGCTCAAGAACCCAACAAAAATCTGCCTTGAATTAAAGTCAAAGACTCTTAAGCTCAAGGTGACCAAAATGGCAAACGAGACAACCACAGCAGATAGAAAACCAAGCATCTTCATCTGTTACATAACATGAAATGAAAGCAATCAACTAATAAACCATTCAATGATACTCCCAATCAATAGCCAGAGTTAAATCAGAAATGATATAATACCTTTCTCACTCGCTCAGCATATGCTATGAAGAGGGATATATAGACTATTTGGAAGATAGCCCCAGTCGAATTGACTGTTGTAATCAATATATTATCAACTGATACGAAGGGTGACCCATACCAGGCGCATATCATACAGTTCAGGAGGGTGTATATATAGGGCAATCCTGAGAATTCTTCTGTTGACCCATTTCTGATAATTCTCCTAAATGTCGGTCTGTTTATTGCACAAGTTATAGAATATTCAATGAGAATAACACTCAGAAAAACTTGAACATAGATGAATGAAATTTGCAATATTCACACGAATTCGAGTGGTAAAACTCACATTGGTGACACAAACAGCCCAAAAGCAAAGATGTTCCCTGTAATGCAATGCAGATGAAAGTTTGTAAGTCAAAAGTCATGACATAAAAAAATCCTACAAATAATATCTATCATAACAACTACCTTGGTCATTAAATCAGCATCACTGATAGCTTTCAAATGTTCAATTTTAAATATGATAACAAACAACTGAAAACTACTTTTCCCATCTTAAATTGGTGTACTTATTTTTCAAAATAAACCGAAATATTCAAAACTCGCAACAACAACGATATGAGGTGCTTCCAATAGACCAACATCATCGAAATGAACAATTGATAACTCATTAACTCCCATATAAATTCAGTTATTCACAACTACATTAATCCCATCATTTTAAAAAGTACTTCCACTTTGACTTTTATATCTGCCACTGTACTATCCTATTACGAAGAACTTTTAGAGTCGGAGGGAGTACGAGAGATAATCATTCATATACAGTATAAGGCTTCTAGGATAGATGACTGATCGCAACAACTAAGCAAAGATTATATTACCTCCGTTTCATATTATTTGCAACAATATGAAACGGAGGTCGTATGAAATAATTACTCAATTATGCAATCTTTAACCAATTACACTCGAATGACTCAATTTAATATCAGCATTTAAATGTTTTGCTCAAATCATAAATTCCCAGAAATTAAAAACTCTCCTTGATATATTCCAACAATAGAGTCAACAAATTTTAATGATTGACCTCAAACAAGATGAAATCTAATCTGAAAAAAAAAAGTCAAATCACAAAAATTAACACCCAAAAAGAGAGAATAATATCTGACTAATCAATCAATTACATTCAACTATAAAAAAATTGCAATACAAAATCTCCGTTTTTTCCAATAATTTAAAATAAAAAGAGAGAGAGAGAAATGGGAAATTACCAGCAACCCCAGCTGCATCTTTGAGAGCAGAATATGCAACTGCAACTGAAAGTGAAGAAACCATGAATTTAATTTGGATATGAAAATAAAATTAAAATTCCTTTTTCCCTTTTTTTTTTTTTTTGTGTGTGTGGTGTTTTCAGACCAATCTCTTCTAAAATCTAAAATGTAAGTATGCTCGTCAAAGAGGTATTGTATTACAGTCTGTCACAAAAGATGTGACATTTTTATAAGGGAAAATTGTCACGTTGTTAAAAAAGTGAAAACAATTGTTATGGTGGAGAAATGATTTTTAAGACTTTTATAAGGATACAGAGGTATTTTTATTCCTTATAATTGCAATTACTGGTTTTGGTCATTTTCCTTTCAAGGATAATAATATCACGTAGGATATTATGATGACTAGGTGAAACAATCCGACAAAATAGTGATTGGGCCCCAAGGATAGAATTTGATGACCAATATTCAAACAAAATCGGCCCTAATAAAATTTTCACTAACTTTTTACTTTTATGTCGTTTGTTTACCGCGTGATCGTATTAGTATACACTACACCCTAGTGTAGGTACCATAACCTACACCCCCTACAAAACGCAGCGTTTGCGTTTTTCCCCTACCCCCACAAACTACAGTAACTACCCCCACTCACTCCCACTAACCACAGTAAATTAGAAATAACTTCCCCTACCCCACATATATATTATTAAAAAAAAAAAAAAACTATCCATTTCAAATTATTCTCTCTCTAAAAACCATCTTCTTCATTTCTCTAGAATTTCTCTCTCATCAACACCGTCGAATCGGAACGAAATTCTCTTCAAATTATTGCAAAATTGCTTCAAAACACTTCATAATTGCTTCAAATGTCTGATATTCGAGATGAAATTAAACAATCACAAAAAAAAAAGAGTAAGTAATTTCGTTAGTTTTGTTCATTTTTTGAGATTGTAGTGCAATTTTATGTGTGAAACCTTAATTTTGTTCATTTTGTTGCGATTGTAGTGCGATTTTGCAAAAAACCACTACAGAGAAGAACATGAAAGAAGAAACTGCAAAATCGGAGCAAAATGTATCTAAAGAGTAAGTAATTTTGTTCATTTTTTTTTCGATGACAATTATAGTGCGATTTTATGTGTGAAACCTAATTTTTGTTCAATTTTTTGCAATTGTAGTATGATTTTGGAGAAGAATACTTCAGAGACGAGTAATTTGTTGAAAATTTCTGAAGAAATGTATGAACTCTAACTTTTGTAAAACCTAATTTGTTCATATTCTTGCGATGAAAATTATAGAGCGAATTTATTTGTAAAACCTAATTTTTGTTAAAAATTTTTGCGATTGTAGTAATTGTTCTAAGATTTTACTGAAAATAACTAAAACATTAACAATTTATTAAATAAAACAGAGACGATGATGATGATGTACCTCTTCAGTCAAGAGTAGACAAATTGAAAAAAAACCGCCAAAATGATCCAATTGTAGATCCGGAACTTTTAAAAGATATTGACAAGTCAATTGGTACGGATTTAACAATGTCTCCACTACCAAGGTAATTAGTCATTTACAGAATATATTATGTTCATGTCTAATATGCTAGTTGTATTTGATAAAATTGGTTTTATCTTTGTTTAATATGTTATTTGTATATGATCATATTTGATACTCATAATGTTCATTTATAGATATAGTTATGATCATATATTTATATTTGTTCATATGAGTATTTATTGAGATTTAAAAACAAAAGTACATTTCATTGAAACATCATTGTATATGATCATATTTGATACTCATAATGTTCATTTATAGATATAATTATGATCATATATGTATATTTGTTCATTTGAGTATTCATTGAGATTTAAATAACAAATATACATTTCATTAAATCATCATGCACATATATAAATATGATAATAATCATTTCAGTGATATGCATTCAAACTAATGTCATGTAATTAATTTATAATGTAGTGATGTGCCATTTAGAGTGATACACTTGCTTCAATTTAGAGATGGGAAATCTGAACCATTAACTCTAAAGAAGGTTATAGAACAAAATGAATATGGTAATAGTTATGAAAGATACACTTTAAACAAGTAAGTTTATATGTATAAAATAATTGTTTTTACATTCAATTATTGTACATTGTATATATATACCAAACTTATTAGGTAATTCTTAAAATTTTAGTGAAAAAAAAAAGGTTCGAGTGAAATTTGTTATGTCAAAATCAAGACCACCAGAGACAAATCAAACAATAAGGTATAAAAGCTTTATACAAAATAACTAATTATCTTCTTCATTGTATAAATTAGTTCATACTTTAATATCATATTATATAAAATAATTCTGTTTTTTTTAAGTGAACAAAGTGAGAACATTCCTGCTACTAATGCAACAACTAAGAGTGTGTCTGCTACACATAACACAACTGACAAAGAGAGTAGGGATGAAAGGTATACTAATGATCAATTTTATATAAATAAATGTTCATTTTTATAACAGTATATTTTATGTACAATTTATGTGCATTTTTTATTTAAAGTATTTCTTAATATTGATTTCAGCAAGCAAGAAGAAGTTCAACCAAAAGTGCAAAGCAATCCAGTAAAGAATAGTCTTGGCCAAAAGTAAGAAAACTTAAATGTTCAATTTTGATAGACTATATGTTCATTTGAAAATCAGTACAAAAAAGTTTGCTCATGACCAATAGTAATATAAGTTATATGTTCATTTTTTTATTTACTAATCAAAATTGTAAATTCAAACATATTTTTAATGAAATATCAGAAAACCCAAAGATGATTCAAGAATAACAACATTAAAGGACAAGATGCAAGAAATACATTTAAACATAGAGAGAAACCCAAAGTATGTTTAAATTTAAATAATTGAATTAATTTAATCAATTAATGAATATATTTCAAAGTTAATATCATACATTTACAGAAAGTACAAAGAATCGACAATCAGAATTATGAGAAATCTCAAAAGAATGGAAAAGGCAAGCAAGGAAATCAGGAAAGGTAAATGATCATATTTATTGAATATTTTTGTTTAATAGTCATAAATATCAATTTTAACAATACTATTACTTTTGAAGGTGAAGCAAAAAAGAAAGAAAAAGGGCCAATAGAAGAGAAAACTGTGGAAAAAGGTAAAAATTTTAAAATGTACATTTTTATTACAAAAAATGTTCATATTGGAAAAGCATAATATTAAATATTCAATAAGGTTAAAAAAATTAAATTTTAACTAAATAAATTTTAATAGAAGGACAAGAAGGAAAAAAAGGGACTGAAAAAGAGAAAAGCCCTAAAGACAAAACTGTGGAAGATGTCTTTCCAAAGACAACAAATGTAGAAGGTAAAAATTTATAAATGTACATTTTTATTACATAAAATGTTCATATTGGATCTACATAATATTGAATGTTCAATAAGATTAAAAAAAATATATAAATATTAACTAATTAAATTTTCATAGAAGGACAAGAGGGAAAAAAAGAGCCTGAAAAGGAGAAAATCCCTAAAGAGAAAACAGTGGAAGATGAGTCTACAAAGACAACAGATCCGAAAGGTAAATAGTGGAAAATGTACATATTCATTACCTGAAATGTTCATTTATATTGTATATAGTAAACATTTGTCATCCAATTTAATAAATGTTTATTTAATCTTTTATATTTGATCATTTCATATGCAGCACAAATTGCACCTGATTTTGTTCAAATTGAGGATGAAACTTATCTTCTAGATCAAGATGATGATAAAGTTTCCACAAAACTTAGTGAGGAGACAGCTCCATCATCACAAAAAAGTGATCAGTCAACCAAAATGAAAACAAGATACAAAATGGTTGCAAGGAAAAACAAAAACAAAAGCCTTGTTGTTGTGCCAAGTGGTAGAATTACAAGGAGCCAAGGTAATCATAATACTTTTCTGTTACACAATAAATATTACACTTTCAAATATACTAACATAAATTTTTTTTAAAAACAATAGATGTTCTGTTAGATGAATCTGAAAAGGGAAGCCTGAAGAAGGATGTTGAACCTGCTAAAGAAACCGCAAAAATAGGACAGAAGAGAAGAATGTCTACAAGGAATTTTCCTATTCAAAAGGAAGCTGATGCACCACCTCCAGCACCTACTCCAATAAAAAAAATGGCAGGTGCTCCTGCTGAATATCCTCCAGACCAAGGCAAAAAGGGTAAATGTTCAATCTTAATGTATAGAATGATCATTTATGATGGTATATCATTAATGTTCAATTTCAATATATAGGTGGGAAAAAGAAAACTCTAGAAGAAGTGAAGAAAACTTCTAAGGTTGCTGGCAAAAGAAAAGCAGGTATATAATGATATATTATAAATGTTCAATTTCTATATATAGAATGATCATTTGAGAAAACAATTTTGTTCATTTTATCATTTGCTTACTGTACATTTTCAATACTTAAACAAAATTATATATATTTAATTTTCAGATGTCAGTCCTGCCAAGAGAAATGCTGGAAAGAGAAAAAAAATACAAGAAGTACCATCAGATGAACCCTCTCAAGATCCTACTGATGAAAGTTCTACTGACAGTGATGATGATAGTGAAGAGTCAGTTTATAGAGCAGAAGAAGAGCCTGTCAGTGAGGATGATTATGAGGTGGAGGAAGAGGAGGAAGAGGATGAAGTAAAGCCAAGGAAGAAACAGGCAAAGAAAGGGAATTCAGTGAAGGCAAAGGTTGAAAAGGAGGAGCAAAAGATGGTACTGTATGATGAAGGAAAGATTGAAGGTAGGAGAAAAAAGAAAATGAAAACTGAAATGGTTCAAGCAATAGAAACTGATGAAGTTGAGGAAATTCAGGAAGATGAATTTGAGGAAGAGAAATCTTCAAAGAGAGGAGGACATGTGAAGTTCATTGCATGGATAAAAAAGATGACACCTACCCAAAAACAACAAGTTGTTGATATAGGGTTAGGATCACTTCTTGACATTAGTTTACCTCAACTTGATCAAAAGTTCTGTAACTGGTTATTGGGAAGTTTTGAAGAAAATAGCCAGTGTTTTGAACTACCAAAGAATGAAAAAATAGAAATTGAGGTAGAGGATGTTAGGGTAGTTTATGGCTTGCCTACAGGAGAAATTCCAATTGTTGAGCCAAAGTCTGATAAAATTAGTGAGGAGTATGCAGAATTTCTGAAGAAATGGAGAAAATCATGGTCAGGAAAAACTCCATCAGTGAGTCAGGTATGATCAGTTTTAAATGTTCATTTTAAATACA